TTATTCGATCAGTTTTTAAAATCAGGATAGAGCAGGTAGCCGCAGATACGATGTGGAACTCTGGTACACGTGGACAAATGCATTGGAGCGATATAGTTGCGTGCGACGCGCACATCGATTTTAATGTTACTGACACTTTTGTTCACACTTTTTTCAAGCACCTGGTGCTAAATGTCTGGAATGTGCTATCGCAACTCATGCGCAGCAAGGCACGATGAAATGCCCGAGACGGAGGTGATATCAGCTGCATAAGACGGAGGTGATATCAGCTGCATGGGCGCACTAGGTGTTCGTTCACAACCGACCAACACCATGTCTCCACGCTTCCTACTCGCCTACGCTATGCTGGCGTCAACCTGTGTTCTGATTAAGACCAACCCGTCCACCTCTTCGGTATGTGGAATTCTGCCGGCAAGCAACAGCTCCAAAGTTATACAGAACCAGAGCGTCACAGGCTTTCAGCCTTTCCACGGACTCGAAGAATCACACGGCGTGCACATCAACGTAGGACTCTATCAGTCGCCCGCTTATAAAACAGCGAATCTTTTTTGAGATGCTACTCGATTTACTCGCATGATTTACTCGCATGCGATGCGGTTGCAATGTAAATACCTCCCTATGAGAGCCTATATAACTGATTAGTTGCATCATTTCTACAATCAGACCGTTTGTTCTATGTCAACAGCTACTGTCAAGCGATCGATTGGTAGACTGGGTTCGTGGCCCCATTGTTTAACAATGTTTGTACTGCCGAAGGGTCTAGCATGCTTTGAAAGCGTGCAGAGCGTGCTAGCGTCTACTTGTACTAGCGCGTCTATAACAAGGAAAACTTGTTAATGGGAATGAGTTATATATATAGCTCTTCGGATCTTGGTTGAGAGACGCTGCCGCCGGGGACTATAGCAAAATCGATGGGAGGATGGGAAATTGGGACGGTGAGGGACAGGGAAAATATAACTACTCCGCAGGACTAACGGCTATATGAGGCATTTATACTAGTTCTTCTGATTTTTTACTAGTCTCGGACTAACGGACTAGCGTTAGTGTCGAACCTAGATACAATAATGTAACCCAAACCCAGGATAGGGGTGGGGTAACCCCTCCTGGGTTTGGGTTACATTATTGTATCTAGTGTCGAACCTTGCTGTAACTAGACAGTCTACAAAGTTGGGCACATAGGGGGGCGTGGCAGGATATACGGGGCGCCATGCAGGACAGGGCTCAATTTTGTCAACAAAATCCATTTTTGTACCTATAAACTTGACAAAAATGAGTTTTGTTGGACAAAACTCAATTTTTTCTAACAAAACTCAATTCTGTCTCACTAAAATTCACTTTTGTGCACAAAACTCAATTCTGTCTCACAAAAGTCAATTTTGTGAACACAAAACTCAATTCTGTCAATCCTGTCCCACAAAACTCAATTTTGTCAGCTCATTTGCATAATTTTCGATTTTGTGGCCCAAATATGGCACACGCATGTAAGAAGGGCTACCATTGGTCAGAAACTGGGATGGAGAAATGTGTCACGGTCGCCATCTTGTTTCTTTAACTTAAGGCGCGTTCACACGGACGTTTTTGGCCCGAGCCTAATTAGGCCCGTGCCAGATTTGGCTCGAGCCGAGCGTTCACACGGACGTTTTTGGCCCGAGCCTGTGCCAGATTTGGTCCCATCGAAAACGTCGGACCAGCAGGCCCGAGCCAAATTTTAGCACCCTGCTCGCCTACGCTATGCTACACTAAAACACTCGTATTTAATGTTATAAAATTTCATCAGTAGAACTCACTTCAGAAATAGGAGGCAGACCTTGCACGTAAGCTTCCCGCTGCATATACCGCAACCGGCAGTTAGATGCGATATGATATGACAACTTTTTTTTTGGGGGGGGTTAGGGTTAGGGTTTAGGTTAGGTTTAGGGTTTAGGTTAGGTTAGGGTTAGGGTTAGGGGTTTTTTTTTTAAGTGCCTAGTAGTCATATCCTAAGTGCCTAGTAGTCATATCATATCGCATCTAACTGCCGGGTGCCATATACCAGTCACTAGCTAACATGGCTACGTTACTCTTTTAGCGAATGCGCAATATCTAACAAGAGGAGTTTTATTTTGTGATGTAAATGCATTTAGTATGGTCAGGGGGTATCTCAGCATCGATTTCTGTAATGAATTCTAATCAGTGGACCTGTGTTTATAATAAGGAGAGCGCCCTATCCTGTAGGGTGCAAAAAATTATAAAATATTATCAGTAGACCTCACTTCAGAAATAGGAAGCAGACCTTGCATGTAAGGTTCCCGCTGCATATATACAATTAAGTACATAACATGGCTACGTTACTGTTTTAGCGCATGCGCAATATCTCACCAGACGAGTTTCATTTTGTGATGAAAATGCATTCACGGGGTATCTCGGCATCGATTTCTGTAATAATTTCTTATCGTTAGACGTGAATATGGGGGTGGGTTCAAAGTGAAATGTTGCAAAATGCATTGCTATCATTTGTGCAATCACGGCATAATCATTGCAAATGGGACATCAATGTGAAGGGAAATGAACAGACTTTCCAATGATACCAAATGCAATGATAATAATGCAGGTACAAGAGAGATATCATCGATCAAACCTAAATTTCCGAACTTTTTTAGGAGTGTACATGAAAAGTCTCCAAAATCAAAAAAAAACCTTCAGCAGTTTACGGGTTAAGATCTTAACCCGTAAACTGCTGAAGGATTTTTTTTGATTTTGGAGACTTTTCATGTCAGATACAGGGTCAAGACGGTATTCGTAGTGTCTTTCACTTTAGATAAAGTGTAAACAAAAGTCTATTACTTTAGATACAGTGTTTGCATTGACATGATTAAAGGTAGTAGCCCTCACTTGCACACCCTACCAATTTCCATAAAATTTCATTTGTAGATGCCAATTGGCATCAGGATATTTTCTTTGAGTTCTTAAGGCGTCTTCCAGTCGCCTTAAAAGGAAAACGTTTAATTTCTCATTTAAATGTCACATTATATCCATAAATCCAATGCTGTTATATGTTTACTTTGATGCGTCCTCATTTTAAGTTACAATGAGCCTAAATTTGTTCGAGACCTCCCACGATGCTTTACAAATGAAGGCTATACTGCCTTTAAAGGAAACTGGGATTCCAATACTTTTTTTATTTTTTTTATCTCAGACCTAAGTATCCATAAAAAGCATTATTTGAAATGGAAAGTTTTGGAAATTCATCGACCTCTAGTGATCAGATGACCTAGTTTATGGCATGTAAACGATACAAACAATAGTTGATACTTGCAATTAAAATTCGCGAAAATGAACCTTTTAGAGATCAAAAATACGAAAAGTTCCTATACCGTTGGATGGGGGACACCCCTCCCTCCCAGCTCTCCCCTTGGCCGCTTCGCTCCCTCGCAGGCTCTTGAACCACGTCAGGTCCCCCCACATTTTAAAATGGATTTGCGTCCCTACTTGCAGGTATGTGCTATTTACTGTAAATGTATAGTGTTAACCAACTAATGTTACGTTTAGCCGATACATGTGTTTGTGCGATTATAGTTCCTACGCTTCTTCATATAGAAAATCTGGTGCCTTATAATTATTTAATTAAACCATCGGTATCAAAATTTCCTATATTAAAAATAGTCGTGAGTATGTGCGTAATTTCAAACAAACTGGTTTCCGTGAGAAGAGAGATTTATAAGCGTAACAATCTTTGTGTAACGTAAAGTGAAAAGTCATGTGTCATCATGTGCAAACCATTTCTCTTACTTTTATTAAGTTCATTCTATAAGCGCCTTGTATTGCGTTATAGTCTTGCATTGTACAGTATTGTATTGTGTTGTGTTTAATTGTCTGTGAAATTGTGTCCCAGAGTACGTAAGCCAATTTAACAGTAAGTACTAACCGGTATATGTGGAATATGGAATAAAATACAAAATCGCGATCTCCTCCACGTAACAGTCATGCAGCCGTATGCAGCTGAAATACAGAGCTATTGGACGCTAGCGTCACATAGGGGAAAACTTGTACACGTTCAGTGATTCGAAATTCTGGACGATTAGGCGCCCTTCAAACTGGGAGATTGGAATAAACATTTTGTATGTAAAATTACTCGTATTTATGTGCATTCTAACTTCAAGGCATGTTATTTAAGTAATTTTTGTTTGGTAGATATTTGGCAGACTCAAATAGATATAATATTAACTTACTGTACTGGAAACAGAAATTCGAAAAGATAGCCGCGTTATAATTATTGAGGTAAAGACATTGGTATTGGCATTTTTGTTTCAAACTCCTCGTCCTACATTTTTTGCCCGATCTGGAGAAACCAATTTGCAAACGATTTCTCTTACTTTTGTGACTGTAGATATGAAGAGGCTAATCCCCTCTCATGCAATTAACCTAGCATGCGGATAAGGATATGTGTCTGTGCGATGAACACGATATATATACAGCTAAATATATAGCATTATTTATATATATATATATATATATATATATATATATTATATATATATATATATATATATATATATAATAAATATACATATAAATATATATAGCTGAGCATACAACTACAACTAAGTCCAACGCGAGTGATTTGCAAAGTTTATGGTCTAAGTGCCTTGTATTGAATTGTATTGTCTTGCATTGTATAGTGTTTTATTGTATTGTAAAAGTGTGTTACAAATGATAGGAACGCGACTATTATTATATTATTAATTATTGTTATAATTATCATTATTGTATTATATTATTAATTATTGTTATAATTATCATTATTGTATTATATAATTATATTATTAAACTTGTTTACACACGCCTAGCTCTAAATTATTGCAAAACGTTCTTGTGTGAAATGTCAAGAAATAATTGAGTATAAATTCGGGCGTTTTGTCTACCTGTAGCTTGTAAATGAATTCATAACGTTTAATGATATATTATATTTATATACACGCGAGGCATCTTTTATTGTTTTACGCATACTATGAACAGAGAAATACGAAAAACAGCATAGATTTATTGTTTGACATTCGTTCATTAGGGAAGTATAAATACATATATAGCACAAATAATAATTAGAGGCATGCGCTAAATACTCGTATAACGTTACTCGCCTACGCACTAGCACGCATAAACTCTGTGAAAATGAACAAAAAATAGCTGTACCGCGATGATTACGCACCAAATTAGGAAAAGCAAAGCGTTAATATGCACAAACAGTCGTAACTTACAACAACGATCAAGAAAACACGACAGCGTTCGGCACATGGAATGGCCAGCTAGGGTCCTAGCTAGCGGCAGGGGGAGGGGCAGGGGCAGTCGTCCGCACACTAATGTGGATACTATTACATGGCCAACAGTCAACCGCCCATGGTCAACCGCCAATGGTCAACTGCCCAGAAGATAAGACGCGCGTGGCTTTGCCTCTAGTCAAAATGGGTTAGCTACGCTCCTGCTGCCATCTGGCGTGCGCGTCACCAGTATCAGGACCCTTGATTGTGCAAGGACATGTGAGAGAAAGCAAGAAGGGCAAGAACTCATTGCTACCCGACCTTGCCAGCGTGCAGTACATATTTAAGCATACGTTACTGGGTCCCGCAGTCTCCGCCAGGGCACTAAATCAGACCATTTTTCGAGGAACCGAGTAAATGTACAGTGAAGCAGCGAATTAAGCACGCAAACCATCGAACATTACACACGACTCCCAAATCTCTGCAAACGGAGCCATTTCCTAGAAATATGTTATCAAGCTAGCCGTGCGTGAGGTCCACGGACCTGTAATGATTCAACACGCAAAGAACAGCCGATGGCTTCACAATTTAATCAGCACAGATTCATCACCTGTTTCGCACGTTCGTAGGACGAAGCATAGATAGTGTTCGCTCGTCATCTCTCTCTCTCTCTCTAGCTCTCTTGGTTACGAGAGATTGTCTAACGTCACGACTACTGCTATATATAGACTATTTACTATATACACATCGCTGTAAAGATAATCAATGTCAGTATTTACAAGAATATGATTAACGGTAATCATCATCATCATCGTCACCGTCATCGTCATCATCGTTACAAGCCGTCACAATCACGCATGCGCGGAGATGCGTTTATTGGCCGCATCGTCAGGAGTGCTTAAGAATTCATCGCAGGTTCTTAGGTACTCATGGCGTCATTATTCCACTACTATGTCACACGCATATAAATTAATTACGTAAGCAGAATGCGATTATGCATGGTTCTACCATGATGCTATTATAGCCAGGGATAGGATTTCGTCGTTAATACGAAAACCGTGTTCGGAGAAGTCTCAGCGATAGCTTAGCGTCAGCGTCTGCGTAGAATCACAATCCGAGTAGATAGACATTGTATCGCAATAAAAGGCAAGAACTCCCCACCCCACTAAATCGACTTCCCCCCAACCCCGCTCCGAAGCACGGTAGGTTTCGCCATTAGCGCTAATCACACGGTGGAAGACACTACTACTGCACGCGCACTCGCTTTATTTCTATTAGCGGCGCGGCTATGCGTTTTCTTTGACCTGGGTAGCTATATGACTGTTAATTCTTGCTGCGTGCAATGTGTGTCACTTGTGAAGTGATGCATGTCTCATTGGAAGCTGAGTTCGAACGTTGCGCCTCATTGCCTCATTATATTACTCAAATGTAAGTGCACATCGAAGCTTTTTATCAAAATGCATAACCATTGCTTTAAAAATCGCTTCACTTATCCTCTTAACATTAGCCAAACAAGTCTTCCTCGTTTTACTGTGGAAGTTATATCGGCACAAGCATACACTCTCACTACGAAAAAAATATCTGTTTATTACACTCCAAATACTGTTATTAGGGTAAATCATTGGCTGGTACTGATTGCTTAAATCTGCAGAACTCCCGATGCATCTCTCTTTCGATGCAAACGCGCATTCTTGTTAACCTAGCTTTAATACATTTACTAACAACACGGATAACCATCTACCGGTCACCATGGCAACGCGAGCAACTGTCCTTAAGTTGCCACGGCAATGTCGGCAGACGGATCGTCAGGGCAAGCACAACTTCTAATCGTCCACGCGGCAACGGGAGTTCCTGAGTCTTCGTCCGGCCCGTAGGTGGCGCCGCGCTAGAACGCGAGCTCGTCCAGCTTGGAGCGTTTCGGCTGAATGGCTTCATCATCGATGTCGTCGTCGTCGTAGATTGGGTGCGGCCGGCGGTAGCATCGCGGTGACGGCACGATCAGGTGTGACTCTGTCACGGAGACTCGCAGTGGTGGCTCGCGCCACAACCAAGGATGCATCAAGCATTCCAGTGCCGTCATTCGTTCGCTGCAACGCGTGACGTCGTTTGTTCAGTATCAACTTGTATTATTAGCAATTGCTTGTTATTATTACTATCATTATATTATGAAAACGTTTAGCTCTTATATAACAATCACCCCACATGGTGGCCATAGGTTTTCCGGCATGAAAGTGACACCGAGTTCAGACCAGAAAAGACTATAAGCACACAAATTCAACAGCTGGCGAGGTTTACAGACCAAAGCTTAAAAAGCGAATTCAAAGGTTAATGGCCTTCCATGCTGCAGCGTAGCGTTGCAGTTCTGTTGCAGCTCTGTGACAATTGGCAGCTCTGGGTGGACAACATTGGAGCTAGCGAATGAGGAAATGAGAACCGACTTTTGTTTCTCACTAGCAGTCCATATTGCTTTCGAAATCAGCGTGTATTGGCAAGGCCACACAACACGGCGGTACGTACCTGGGATCCACTACTAGCAGAGAGCAGATGAAATCTCGCGCCTGCTCTGTCACGTCCATGAAGAGTTCCTCAGGAAATTCAAGGTTCACCTGAGATATATTGAGAAACGTTTCCTGCTTGGTGGCACCACCAAACGGCGAGCAGCCTGTCAACATCTGGTACGCCAACACACCAATGCTCCTGCAAGAAGGAAAGTTGATGTGTGATGAGATAATAATAATAATAATAATAATAATAATAATAATAATAATAATAATAATAATATTGCACGCAGACTATAACGGGAATTGCGACGCAGATTTTTTTCCGCATTCTGGAATTTTTTGTGTGGGACATAATGAACGTTTTGCTACTGTTTTGAATAACGGATGACACCTGGAGTATGAGCATACGGATTTGCGTGCGATAAATAATCCGAAAATTACCATCGCTGTTTTTGAATGCATTTACCATACATCATTTATATACACATTGTTCCCGAGTCACTCTTTGCTAGTTCAGTTCCGTAATTCCGCTCTGGTGATTTCGAAAATTGTCATGCGCAGGAGATGCTCTATTGCATATAGCACCTCGAGTTATATATAGACCCTGTCGTTAATGTAAGGTGTATGGAGCGGGAAGGAGTGAATGAGTGAGTGAGTGAGTGAGTGAGTGTGAGTGAGTGAGTGAGTGAGTGAGTGAGTGAGTGAGTGAGTGAGTGAATGAGTGAGTGAGTGAGTGAGTGGGTGAGTGAGTGAGTGAGGGAGTGAGTGAGTGACTGAGTGAGTGACTGAGTGAGTGAATCAATGAGAGTGAGAGTGAGAATGAGTGAGTGAGTGAGTGAGTGAGTGAGTGAGTGAGTGAGTGAAGTGAGTGAGTGAGTGCGTGAGTGAGTGAGTGAGTGAGTGAGTGAGTGAGTGAGTGGAAGTGAATCAATGAGAGTGGAGTGGAGTGAGTGAGTGAGTGAGAGAGTGAGTGATCAATGCAGGAGTGAGAGGTGGTGAGTGAAGTGAGTGAGTGAGTGAGTGAGTGAGTGAGTGAGTGAGTAAGTGGAATGAGTGAGTGAGTAAGTTTGAATTGAGTGAGTAAGAGAATGAGTGAGTGAGTGAGTGAGTGAGTGAGTGAGGTGAGTGAGTGAGTGCAGTGAGTGAGTGAGTGAGTGAGTGAGTGAGTGAGTGAGTGAGTGAGTGAGTGAGTGAGTGAGTGAATAAATGAGTGACTATTATACTGAGGAAAGCCATTACGTTGATGGCGGCCGATTGTTACACTGTTGCCAGGCACCCGATTCTTGTCAGAGGTCATATCTTCGACAGCCGTTACGTAATAAGGCAGCACCAATCTCTCTCGCTGTCTACAACTAAACAAACCGCGCCGCTTGACTCCTGCGGCTCTTCTTCTGCTCGGACTCACTGCCTGGTATTCTAATACTAGATAAAAAAAAAGCCCTGTCGCACGTGGGAGGGCGATAGATAACAAACAGCCGATGGATGGCAGCACTTACCACATGTCCGTCTGCGTGGTGATAGGCTCGTAGCTCAGAATTTCCGGCGCTGAAACATAGAACAGGGGAAACAGCTTGTCAGATAGGGAAAATATATCGCTATTATATATTATGCGCTGGCGGGTCAGGGCCGGGCTAGCGGCAGGCCGAAAATGTACAAGAATTGTGGAATGCGCACTTTATATATAGCGTGAAGCGTGTAGGGGTGGAGAGAGACACTGTTAGTTTCGTGTCTTATTTTAGTGGGAATTCAGAATATTTATGGCTATTTTACAAACGCCGGGTGCAGAACCAGAAGATGCACCCTAGCTCTCTCTATCGCTCTCTCTCTCTCTCTCTCTCTCGCCTTCTACCCCCTTTTTTTCTCCCTCTCTCCCCTCTGTCACCTATATATCCCTCTTTCAATTCTTAATTATTGCCTTACTGTTTCCCTCTCAATCTCTCTTTGTCTACTTGCCTTTCTACATCCGCTTTCGTTCTTTCAGTCACTTTATCTCCGCTCTCTCTACCATTCGCAACTCTCTCCCTGGCTCTCACTATTCCTTTCTCTTTATCTCTATCTCTCCCTCCCTTCCTCTCTCTCACTCTTCATCTCTCCCCCCTCGCTCCCCCCAATTCTCTCCTCTCCCCCTCGTTCCGTTACTCCCACTCTCATTCTTCCTCTCCTTCTTTTCCTTCTCCCATTTCTGTCTTTCACACTCCCCCACTTCTCTCTCTCTCTCTCTCTCTCTCTCTCTCTCTCTCTTCCCCTTCTCTCTCTCTCTCCCTTTCTTCTTCTCTCTCTCTCTCCCGCCAGGGGTCCGAACCCTTAGAACTACGACCAGTAAAGGCCACTCACCGACAAAGTCTGGCGTGCCGACTATCTCACGGAACTCTTTACTGGCGTCGACCAGCCGACACAGGCCGAAGTCACACAGCTTGATGTCGCCATGCGGGTACTCCGATGTGAACAAGATGTTCTGAGGCTGCGCACAAAGACAAAGACGTGTGATGTCTCACAGAGAAAAAAACAAACGCGATAAGAAAAATTTCACGGTGAGAAATCCATTTGAACGAGCGAGAACGTGGATCGTTATGTCTAGTTTCACACTACGTATCTATATCTAGTACTTCCCGGCCATCTTTAACTAAGACATGGCCACAGTCTAGACTCGATCAAGAACAACTGCCGCTGTATGGTAGGATTGATATCAGCGAGTTGCAAATAATCAAACTCAATTAATGCAATTGATGCACCCCCCCCCCTCAACACACACACACACACACACACACACACACACATATATATATATATATATATATATATATAATATATGCATTAGTTAGTAATATCACATTTCTATATTATTCGTTGACGTTCCAGCTCTTATGAAATTACATTTCATAAGAGCTGGAATGTCAACTTGAATTTAAAAAATTGAACAATTTGAATTTAAAAAGGATGCGAACATATGAATATAGTGGTTGAGAATTAAACCAACTGTGATAGTTACTAATTATTAGATAAGCTACTATCACAGTTGGTTTAATTATCAACCATTATATTTACATGTTCGAATCCTTTTTACATTCAAATTGTAAAAACCGATTATAGATTCAGCACGAGTCACTGCGCACGTATTATCGTGCACGTAAGTGCCAAAAATTATGCACGCAGTACACCTTTTGCCTTTTTCATGGTCTCTGATACGTTATCTTCGCGTGCATATATGTCGGTCAGTACGCGGTGCTAGGCGCACGCACCCGCGCATGCATGCACGCACGCAAGCATGTAGACACGAACGAACGGGTACAACACAGACAGGCACGCACGCGCGCGCACGCACGCGCGCGCACGCACGCACACACATACCAAGAAGCTAAATATAACATATGCTGTTATATTTAGCTCATTGACACATACAACACTAGCACGCAGGCACGCACGCACGCATATGATATTCTGCTGATTCCTACTGATTCATCCAAACGACCTTGATAGATTACTAGGGCTGTGAGATATGAAGAATACAAGCACCGACAAGACGACAAAGTGCGCGGATAAAAGCGATGCACCGTCTGCAAACAGATCAGGCATGACAGCGCACACGTAGGCACTTACGTACAGGTTCGGACCATAGATAATGTATCTGGTAGACCTACGTGTCTAATGTCACGACGTTTAATTCGACACATGCGACTGTCTCAGCAAACGCCGGCAGGAGCCGAAAAATTTCAGAAGCGACCTTTGCAGTCGATGATATAAGCTTTTCGCCTCTGTTTGTTATTGCAGTGACGATGTCAGACTTGAGAACCTGTCACTGCTTAGCTGTGCTACCCAGCAGATACGCATCTACGTATGAAATCTGTACCGAAGAGGCATAGGTTTGTTTGGTCGTCGTAAGCTGAATAAACGCTATAGCTATCTCGACAGCAGATAATAGATCTAATACCTCCCTACTCTCTACAACATTTGCGTTGTATACAGTACGTGTGTGTCCTACATTTTAGATATTAGCAGGAGTAAATAAAAGCAAATGTTGCTTTGAATAATGTTTGAAAATTTAAACATTTTTGTTCTTATTCACTCCTGATACGATGCTATCAACTGCTAATAATACATAATACAGGTATTATTAGCTCTTGATACTATTATATCAGGAGTAAGATCTATATTATCTTACTCCTGATTATATGTGTACGCCACATCTGCAGGTATGGCCATCTACGCGTACTGGTCGTGTACGTACGATGCGAATAAACAACCGAATATATAGGGGCATACAACAGTAAGCCTCCGCAAATTGTTCACCACACTATTTGGTCCCTAGAAAAGGCATTTCTTGCATTTTTTGCGGTGAAATCCGGCACTAGAGTGCACTAATTTGGATTATGCACGTAAGTTGGATGCCTCGTGGACGTCTAGAAAGCATTAGAAGTAAAATTTGTCTTGTCGTGTAGTTGTGACATTCCGTTAAGTGGCGTAGCCATGGTGCCCGGTTGGCCATTTTTGTGTTTGAAACGGGATCCAACTACTTTATAGAAATGCGCATTATTTAGCTGGCAAAAGTTTCGAGCGGAGTATAGAGCATGAATCTGTAGTTATTTAACATGAATAATGTGTATGTTGTGTATGCGACGAAAAACTGCGAGTATTTTTAATAATTTTCTGTCCGATGCTTATTCAGGCCTGCTGCCTATGGACGCCTTCTATTGTTGTACACCACCTATAACCGGGTGCAAGTCGCTACCCGTCAGGTTTTACCACTTGTCATTAACCCTTGCGTACGTCAGCTGTGCTCAGCTGTGCACGGCGAACCACTACCACGATCACGCCGTGCGCGCACTGCGGTTCAACCTCCCTCGCCGATCATGCAACGCGGCCAACCTCGATTTGACAAACCCGTGGCACACTTTCGCCCCCTCGCGAGCGGTCGTCCGGCCATTGTTTTCTCTATTTGTAAAACGATTACGTCCAACAGAACTCTCTGTGCGGGGTGCTGTACTCATGTATACGAGCTTAACGTAGTTCGGCACGGTGGTGGCGCTTGCTCCGTATACATCGCCCATTCGAGATTCATTCCCTTTTAGAATCTAGCTGATATCTGAGTACACTAAAGTAGTCATCTAGCCACACGACGATATTTAAGCGACGAGTCTTATTTCGCAGCGCACTAGCCTTTAGATTTTTTTTAGACAGACGTGGTACCGAATATGTAACATTCACTTGTGATAGAATCCCTTAATATTGCATATCCCCCACAGACTGGTCAGCTGCAGAATAACGCTAATGGATATAGCGCAATCGTATTTATAGGAAAGATTGCTTAGTCTTTATTACAGAATCTACTGTAAGCACAGGAAGAACTCTCTATCAGCCGAACTACGAAAATTAGCAGACGATTCTACCAAGTGGGTCAGTGGGGTTTGAAAACCCTTCACATTTATAACTTCAAGATGTCGATTCAAGGATCATCGGTGATCATTTAGCAACAGAATGTCCCTCTCAGCCTGCCCACGGGCCAAAATATTCGTCTCCCCTGCCCTCGAAAAAAACAGCAACCCAGTGTAACAAAGAGCAGGTTTATCTGTCTTAGAACCAACGTCGCCAGTTCACGCAAACTGCTTACAGGTGAATTCCCACCAACCAATGAGAATGGCCGAGTGGCCGCGTCTTCAGCCAATCAGAGAGTAGATTACGAGTATTCTACTGGGTGAGGTTCCTGTTAGAGAGTGATGGGAGTTGTAAAGTACTTGATATGACCGGCCTATAAAGCAAACTAGAGCTGAGAGGGTCTATGTCCCCCAGGGTACTGCCGGAACGTACCCTGGGTACGGTCCGGTATACCGGAACGTACCCTGGTACTATCTAATATGCCTGACCGTACCTCGCCTACTCCACTAACGAGTCTAGGGAGTCGCCTACGCCTACTCCATAACCCTTACCCTAACCCTAACCATATCAGATAGTTTACCAGGGTACGTTCCGGCAGTACCCTGGCGGACATAGACCCTATGAGCCAAACGCGAGACATCGTATAGTGAAATTTCTGATTGCAGCCCCGACGACGAACGATACAATTTTACGAAATGCGGAATACTAACGATTATTTACAAGGTAACAAATGGCCCGTTGGGGGCACAGGCACTTGGACCGTTTCAATAAAAAAATGATTATAAATAAACATAAATTGTATTTGCTACCAACGTCTCAATGTTTATGTACAGTTATCGATGATTAACTTCACGTAAATGCCGCTCAAATGCTGCCTGTAATATACGGTATATCGCTGCACGCACGCCACTATGCACAAACTCACAGAAAGATAGAGAGGTTTTCACAGAGAGGTTCGCTTTCTTTCTATGAGTTTGTGCACAGTGGCATGCATGCGGTGAACTTGTGTGTTGCAGAGGAGCGTCTGAACTGCATTTATGGTAAACCTTTACTAATAACGGGCGAAAGAGAACAAATAAACAGTGAAACTTTGGTAGAAAATACATTTCGTGTTCATTTACCATCGTTTTCTTATTGAAACGGTCCAAGTGCATGAGGTTGGGGGTACAAAAAATTGGGCTATCCTATCGCAGTTGGTGAAATAAAGGATTAACTAAAAACACAAAGACAGACAAGTGCACAGACGACGTAGCCTGTGTATACGGCATTAGAATAAAAATGTCACCGCATATATTATAAACAGAGAAATAAAGCAGGCCATGTGTAACAAACAAGACATCTCTTATCAGGCCAATCGGGCTGCTCTGCCCAGAGGGGCTCTCTCTCTCTCTCTCTCTCTCTCTTTTTTCATTATGTGTGTGTGCGTGCCTACGTGTGTGTGTGTGTGTGTGTGTGTGTGTGTGTGTGTGTGTGTGTGTGTGTGTGTGTGTGTGTTGCGTTGCGTGCGTCGTGCTGTGTCGTGGGCTGCGTGGCACTGCACGCACGCACGCGGTTCTTGCTTGTCTGTCAGTCTGCTCAAGCAGTAGCCATTTTAAACGACCAGTGTCTGATACTTGAAATTACACGGCAGTCACGTACCGGAGCGTCACGAACCCCGCCGCTTCTATCTCTACGCCGTGAAGACGGACAGATCGAATTCCTCGGCACACCCACCTCACGCTAACGCACGCGCGCTAAATCGCCGCGCCCTTATCCTAGCCTTGCTCGCGCAATCGTTCTGCAGGATTGACGTCGCTGATATTCCTTGCTATATAATATATATATTATATATATATATATATATATATATTTCAAAGTATGCGATAACTGTAGGCCTACTCTAGTGTTACCTCACATGTGCTGTATATGTGTAACTTTGTGTTTTTGACTTAATTGTACATCACACACGCAATAAAATCTAACTGAAATTGAATTATGACTTGCGAATTTTAAACCAGTAGGTGATGACTGACCATAAGCAGACCTACTATACCAGCTACACCTATATATAGGTGTAGGTGATGTGAACCAGACCAAATAATGACAATTGTC